GGGGCGAGAGGCGGAAGACGCCTCCGCCTCCGGCCCTTTTGGCATTTAGCCGGGTGCCTATCGGGTTTATCGTAACAGATGGAAAAGTTGATGGCAAGGGTTTAATCCACTTCCACCTGTTACAATCTGACGGACAATGTTACCGTGGATTGGCCGGGATTGTACGCGTTACAACGCATTGCGCGTCATTGTAACCGGTTAGAGCATTTTCCCGAATTTGCTGATGCTTCTATCCTCTCAGTGATATAGTCTTGTTTTTCCATAGCTAGTCTACGACTACTTCCTTTACCGTGAGCAAACCCTCTCCATAACCTGTGCCAATGAGATTAACCTCAGCCTACACAGATGAGCTGGAACGGTGCATCCAATGCCTCTAGCACAATGGCGATAATGAGCTGGGCTGGTGGATCTGTGGGCTTCAGCATAGTTCGTGACTTTGTCGCCTCAAGAACGCCCCCGGGTCAACTTCGGAAATGTCAGGAGCTGCTCGCAGAGGTCGACGAACTCTTGGGAGAGCTCACCGACGAAGAACGTACCCGTATGGCGCTCCTCAACCCAGAGTTCATGAGTAGACTGTCGGAGGATATTCACACGTATGTACATCAGCAAATTCGGGACAATGCTCTAACCGGTTACAATGACGCGCAATGCGTTGTAACGCGTACAATCCCGGCCAATCCACGGTAACATTGTCCGTCAGATTGTAACAGGTGGAAGTGGATTAAACCCTTGCCATCAACTTTTCCATCTGTTACGATAAACCCGATAGGCACCCGGCTAAATGCCAAAAGGGCCGGAGGCGGAGGCTCTTCCGCCTCTCGCCCCCGGTCCCGCGTCACCTCCTGGCCTCCTTCCTTATCTTATCAGCCACCCGGCGGGTTGTAAATGGCTCAGGATTATCGCTTCATGGACGGCACGCGCAGACTGGGGCTCGAACTCAAGGGCAAAGGTTGTATTTCATTCAAAACTATCTAATTACATGGTACATTACTACTACACTAACGGGCCTTTGTTTGGTCATGCAGTACTCGAGCTATGTTACCTTCTTCGCAGCCCTTATGCTCTTCAAATTCTACATCTGCATCACAGTCGACGCACGAAGGAGGGTCAATGAGTAGACAGCGATACTTGTGAGAGGTTGCTTCTCCCAGGATATTCAATCATGTTCACAGTGCGATCAGAAGAGTAGGCTAAAAACTCACGCACATAACGTACAGTTTGACTGTTAGCCCAAACAAGCTCAAACCCCGAGGAAGTGAGACCTTGGATTGTAACGCATTGTGATTACTCGTCCGTGTTGTGTCGGATTGTGAGTCGTTCCAACACCACATGGGCCTGATCTCGGGATGGAACGTGCTACGATCGTGCCTTCCTGCTCATATTGAAATGATAATGGATTACAATCGGCTTCCCTTCCGGCGCGGGATTGTAACCCGGCCAACGTCCGGCCACTTTTTCACGAA